GAAATTTTAGCCCCCTCAGAGAGGGCCCACAATCTTTCTTTTACAAGAAAGATTGTAAAACTCACCTAATGACTATCTTGCTTAGCAATGGAAATGTTGGGCTCAATTGTGATTATTTCAGAGGTGGCACAGTGGTTAGAGTGCAGCACTGCAGGCTACTTTAGCTGAATGCTAGCTGCAGTTTGGCAGTTCAAATGTCACTGGCTCAAGGCTGACTCAGCCTTCCATCTTTCCAAGGTCGGTAAAATGAGGACCTAGATTGTTGGGGGCAATAGGCTGATTCTGTAAACCACTTAGAAATGGCTGTAAAAGCACTATGAAGTGGTATATAAGTCCTATTGCTATTGCTAATACTGGCAGGTTTCATAAAAAGCTTTTTGAATTTTGCTGTGCATATTTATAATACTTTTAATTCAGACAAGCAAGTAAAAGTGCTTCAATTACGGTCCATATTTATGCAAAAGTTGGAACTATCTTTTAAATTCAACTAGTCCTAGTATGGAGAGCAGCTGATATACAGGTAGTCCTGGACTTACAATGGTTTTTTTAGTGACTGTTCAAATTACAACCAGACTGAAAAAGGGATTTATGAACGTTTTTTACACTTACAATTGTTGCGTATCCCCATGTTCACATGATCAAAATTCAGACGCTTGGCAACTGGCTCATACTTATGACAATTACAATGTCCTGGGATCCTGTGAACTGCTTTTGGGACCTTCTGACAAGCAAATTCAATGGGGTAGCCAGATTCACTTAACAACTGAGTTACTAACTTAACAACTGTGGCAAGAAAAGTCGTAAAAAATCCACTTAACAAATGCTTTACTTAGCAACATAAATTTTGAGCTCAATTCAGGTCGTAACTCGAGGGCTACCTATAATACAGATGTAACATGAAGTGATTCCTAATTCCACCAACTTCTCTGCAGATTATATGATGAGCTTAATATTTTAGTATGCTGTATGTTTTGGGGGTATATTTTAAAAAATGATGGTATATTCTTAACAAATCACACTAATAATTATATTGAAAGATGTCCAGGTAGCATAGCTAACTCCTAGCCACAATGTGGCTAATGCTTGCTGGGAGATATAAAGACAAGTGTGTGTCAAACAGGTGTCTGTGCAGTAGGTGATTGCATATTTACTACTTACTTTGCAAAGTAAGGTAATTTTGTCAACATAGTACAGCTTCAGAAAGTAGCCCTCCACTTTTCAATGAGTTTTTTCTTCACTTCATGAGAGTATTAATAGAGGTATTTTTTTGAGCACTGTTGTGCAGCCATATAAAGTTTTGTGGTACAATGGGAACATTTAGAAACTTTTTTTTTCTTATTTATACAGATGTCTTTTGTAAGATCAAAAGCCACATTATGTCCCAAGAAGAAGTGACTAATGGTCTGGCCTGGCTTAGCCTGGGGGAACTCAGTTCTAAGTTTTAGAATCTGTCTGACATTGCTTTTGTCGGTATCTATCGTTGGGAACAATCACAAGACTAAATGAGATGTAATTTAAGTAAACTCCATTTATGTGCACATTTTTAATGAGCAAATAGCAGCAGGAGCATTGGGATAATTATTAGGCTTACAACAGGAGAAAAAGTTGAATAATTTTCTGCTCTGATAATAAAAATGTCTTTTTTCCCCAACATTTCCTATAATACAAATAAAATGTACAAAATAAGGATTTTTAATGTGACGTAGCAGAATGGTTACATTTCCATTTTTTGGTCCATTCTCCCAGCCCCAAATAATTTCTGTTTTCCTTTATAAAATGTATGTTAAATGCAAATATGCATATCACAACATCTTTCTGGTTTGGCTAATAGTCACACATTCTAGTATATTCCATATGTATTTTGATTTCCACAGTGGCATATGAAGTCCAACCAAACTGGTGGGCAACAGTTTAGAAAAGCCTGGGATGGAAGCTAGATGACAATTATTAAAAACTACAAGCCTTGATTTCCTTTTCCTTTCTCAGCTACTTCCATGATAGATCAAGTGGCTGGAGATACATAGGGATAGAACCTGGTAGTTTATTTAGGGGCACTAAATCCCCTATAAAACCTGCAAATGATATAGGAATACAAAATCTGAAAGAACATCAAGTTGATGCTATTCTGCAAAAAAAAAAAAAAGAAGAAGAAGAAGAAGTGTAAAGAAAATTCCGTCAATTTTCAAATTTTGTATATCTACATAAAATTGGGAATAAAATAACATAAATTTGAAAAAAAGGATTGTCTGTTTAGGTTACACTATAGCATGACATTTCTAAAGTGGAGTATATTTTACTGAAGTTTGAAAGGTAGCAACATGTCTACATGGCCAAAACTTTCAGCAAGGATTTATATTCATATTTTTAAATGTAACTCCAACAAATTTATTATAATACTATTATGAACTCATTCCACTGCAAGAAAAAATATTGGTTATAATTTGATAGGGAAGGCTTAGGATATTAAATTTGAAAAACAATTAATTATATGTGTTACTATCAATGTGCTCTGTGTGTACAATTGTATAATTGGATATCCATTTGTCTGAAGTGGTATAGGGTTTCCTGCCTAAGCAGGGGGTTGGACTAGAAAACCTCCAAGGTCCCTTTCAACTCTGTCATTCTATTCTATTCCACTAAGAGTCAGCATAGCATTAGTTGTGAAAAAAGGCCACAGAGTCACTCATCTTTCTCTGCCGTGGATAACGTATGACAGCCATAAAGTATTTATTCCAACAGGATCATTTTATTCTCTTGGAACCTACTTCATGGTCAGAATGGAATCTTTAATTTACAGATAAATTACAGGGGATAAATAAACAGATGCTAATGAGATCACATGAAATAAAGGCAAACATCCAGTTGCTATCTGTCTGCATTTCTCTACATTTCCAATTTCATGTTGTTTGATAAACAGATTCTACTTATCTCTGCTAATAAGGCTCAGTTTCAGAATAGATAACACAAAATGCCATTTTTTTGTTATTCTGAAGCCAAAGAAGATTGATCATGGCTCCCTATTATGGGAAGCTCATATTTCTGTAAGTGCCTCAACATTTATCTTAAGGTATACAAATAGTTTTAAATCGTTTAAGTTGTTTCATTTGGTTCCAATCTATTCAAAGCAGAATGAGAGAAAGTAAGTGCCAGACTCAATGCTTCTGGAAGAACTCGTGGCAAACCAAGATCATGGAATTTACCCTGAAATAAGACTAGATTGGCCCCAGGGATTCACAGGGTTTCTGAAAAGTAAGCAATAGTGAGTTTAGTCATGTTTATTCTTAAATATACATGGATAAGAGAGTCACTGTAGGTTTTAAAAATAAGAATACTACTGTTACATTGGGTTTTTTTTTAAAAAAATTCATGCTTATGTATCAAAAACAATAGTAAACTTTGCAATACGTCTTGGATATCTCAGTGACTATTGATTTCCTTAAGTTTTTCATTTGAAACCAGTTTGAATGAACTATATTCCTATATTGATTTTTAATCAGGTGGTTGGTGTGGCACAAGCAATCAACAAAAAATCTGGTGGTGGAGCAACGTTCACTGAGCAAGATGAGAAGGTATATTTTACCATTTAATTTTTAGTAATAAATGTTACCATGCCATCAAAAGTGCAAACAATTCTGATAGGAACAAAAGAAGAAAAAAAAAGGCGAAAGATTTATACAATCTGAAGAGAAACCAGAGTATCCATTCCCCCTTTCGAAGAATCCATTCCCCCTTTCGAAATAAAATTTGTGATGAGCATTTGTGGGACATCAGAATTAAAACATGAACAAAAATGGCTCATGGTCTCAACAAAATTCAGTTCTCACTTTTAAAAATGGAAACCTACATTTAATATTTCACACAAGACTGGGCATTGTCTGCATCTCTTTTTGTGTTTGCAAAATTCACCCCAACTCTTTACACTAGAATCTGGTTGCATGTAATATTGATATTTTAAGACAGATATAAACAGCACTCTTTGCTAATAAAATAAAGTGCTTAGGAATTGGAAATAACTAGCTTCTAAGTGCTCAAGCATAATTAAATAATAAAGGTGCTATTAAAATTGACAAAATATCAGATAATTTCAAAATACAAACCAGACTGTTAGAAGTTTGGGACTCCAAATCTGTGGCTCTCTAGTTATATAGCTTTTGATGTCCAATTTACAGGATTTTGCTGCTTACCTGGCATTTTGTGGAATTGTTCTTCACAATGCTCAGCTCTATGAGACTTCCCTTCTTGAAAACAGACGCAATCAGGTAAGGAAAAGTGTCATATTTATGGGTGTGGTGTGTATAAGGGGTATACAGTATTAAAAACACTTTCATGTTTTTTCATGTGCATCCAGTATAGCCAATATGTATGGAATGATGTTTTGAGTGCATTTGGTACCATAATTGGTAGCTTGCCTTAAAGGAGCAGGAGACATTGGCATTATGCATTGCCATCCTCCTGCATTGAGAACTAACCTTGAAAAATAACTGGGGATAAGGGGAAAAAAAAGGTTGGGCTTATTAGAGAAGGAGATGACGGAAACTACAGAAGCTTAACCTTAGCAGCTAAGGGCAGGTAAGCGTCCTAGTGCTCTATATGCTATAAGCATTTCCTCCATAACAATCACAATTTGTCATTTGGCCGCTTGGGGAAATGAATTGGCCACCCCTGCTGTAGACTCCAACTAAATCTTTATTTATCAGCTACTAAAGTTGAACTACAAACATCATTATTTCCAGTAGATGACACGATTTCATTCTACTTTCTATCAAGGGATTTATACATAAGCCTAATGATTCCTGACAACGTAATATATCTATGTGTCAAACTGTCAATGTATGTCAGAGAATAGCATTGAGGAGGGAAGTGTAATTCTTCCCTTCTTGATTGCAATTCCCCCCAAAATCCCAGTATAGACTACTTTTATGCTGGACTTCACTGGAAATACTTTTTTTCCAAACATAATTGCTGTGGTAAGGCACCAATTGGCTGGAGAGTTCTGCTGCCTGCATATGGCTCATGGACTGGAACATCTATACCTATTCTAGCTACAGGTAACTTACAACCAGTTGTTTAATGTCCCTTCTAACTTACAATGGACTCAAAAACAATTACTTATGACCCATCCTGAAAATTATAACTGCCTCACTACCCTCATGGTCACATGATTGCATTTCAGACATTTGGTAATCAGCTTACATTTATGATAGATTACAACATCCACGGTTGGATAATTGTGTTTTGTAAGATTCTTTGCTGCTTTCCAGAAAAAAAAAATGGCAGACATCCGTTGCACAAGCTGGATTCAGACTTATTATTATGTATTTCACTAAACAATTATCATAAAGTTGATCCTGGTCTCAATTTATGATGACTCAATTTATGACTGCAACAACATACCACCAAAATTATGGGCTCAGTTGTGGTTGTAAACCAAGGACTAACTATATTCTGTAATTCTTATTACAACCAGAACACGAGAAGCATCTTGATCCATCATCATCCACCAGTGTGAGGTCACCTTTCTCCATTAACCTTGCAATTAGGGACTGTGCCTTCTGAATTCTTTGAACAGAGAGATTGGATTCATAATCGAGCTACTGTGTTTTGAGAAAATATAGTTTTCCCATGCAATGCAATGTGCAAAAGTAAAAATAGGAAGAAATTTGGAATACACCATATTGCTTCTATTTATACATATATTCTTCTTGGGATAGGTCAGATGCTTAAAGGGATATAAAAATGAAGGAAGATACAGTCAGAACAACTCTTCCTCCATAGTCATATATTCCATATTCTGGATTGACCTTGAGGTGGAATAAATCCTGTTCCTTCCTGTTCTGTAAATTTGTTCAGACACCAAGGCTCCCCAATATGTATTAATAGGGTGTTTACTAACTGGTAGGGCAGAACTGTTCTTTCAATATGCTTTGAAGGGTGTGACATCTACCTATGTACTTTGTTAAAGGATTACTTATGTTCTACCACTGTTTACAGAGGGAAGTATCTTGGCCTGCCCTTACCAGTATGCAAAAACATTGGTAGGAATCAAATGAGTGGATAGGGTTCCCAAGCTTTCCCAGGATTTTAAAATTGTTTGTAAAAACTGTCAACATACCAGGCTAAGATCTCCACCATATCCAAAATTCTGTATTACCTTTTGTCAAGAAGTATCTCCTGCTTCTTATTAACAGCATGAGAATTGCTCTTAAAAATTGTTTCATCCACTCATGCTACAATTCAAGCATTTCAGATAAACTAAATACACATTGACTCAATGAGTGAAACATCCTTAAATATAAGCCCCCAGTAGTTTATGAATATTTTTAGTAAAGAATATATTTGATTAAAACAATCAATAGGCAAATGATGCTTTTTGTTTTCTGCACATGAATTCAAATGACTTTATGCTAAGCATTATATTTACTGGTATTAGTTTGCATACTTCCTTTTCTCATCATTTTCAGAAATTGCTTGTTACTTGCTCTTCAGCTATAGGAACCTTTGGATTTACAAGTTTTACAGTAGTGGGTCAGTAACTTCAATGAAATTTTAAGCATATGTTTAATAAACTTAAAATCGTGGGAGGGAATGAACCATAAGATGGTGATTATAGCTTTGAATTTTGAAAGTTATAAATGGAATAGGGATCCAGAAAAAATGAAATAAGTTTTTGGAATCTTTCCCATGGGAAAATGCTTTTGTTTTGAATTATTTAAAACTATCATATAAGATAGGACTTTTAAAAAATGGGAACTAGTAGGAACTAAAGATTATAATTAAAGGAGAAGAACACTCAAACACAACTTAAAAATACAGAATACAAAATAGATAGACTGTCTTTAAAAGATCCAATGGAAGAGGAGCAAGTTTTATCTGACAACATTGAGACTAATTTGAAAGTGGACAAACTACAAGAATGACATGGAAAAAGATACAACCCCCCCCCCACACACACTAATGTCTTCATAATTTAAAAAAAAAAAATAAAAAAAAAGATAATGACTGAATAATTTTGTTAATTGGATTTACAAAACAGGCTTGTAAAAGTTTGAAGAATTTTGTAAGAACAGAAAGAAAAAATGAAAAGAAATCAAGGTCTAGGACATTATTTGAAGTTATTAAAGATCAAGATTATTAGGAGTAAAATTTGAACAAGGTTAAAATAGATATGTTATTTCTAGCCCTTAATGGACTTTTGTGATGTCATGGCTGACAACAACTTTAAGGATTTGTTTATAGATAAGAGAGGAGATGTGGGAAGAAGAAATCATTTGTTATATTTTAAGAGGAGGTGATAAGATATTAAAATTGTTTATAGCTGGTTGTGATGAAGGGGGAAGGCATTTCTTTATATGTTTCTATGTTTTCTTTTAATAGGTATTAGTTTTATCCTTGCAGTTGTAATTTTTAATAAAATTAGTATTAAAATATTTTGGAAGGCTATCATTGGAATCCATCAGTATCCCTTTGATTGGAGGCAGGTCCAATTCCAGAGAAGAATTAATTTGGTTAAAAAAGATCACCTACTAACTTAAAATTTTCCATCATGCTTTAGTTCCACTGGCATTATTAGACTGTTTACTCAAGTTGGAAGAGGATTTAGGAGGTGAAATTACAAAATACTGCCCTATCTTTTACAAGCTTGCATTCTTTGGTTTTTACCAAAGCTAAGGAAATGATCTTATAGCAGATAATATATATTGATTTGTAGTGAGATAGTGCTGAAATTTTCCCTTAGGGGGACCTTAAGTAAACATTTTGAGGCAGCTAAATAATCTTGCTTCTATAAAATACAATAGAACCTTTATCATAGCATGCTGTAATAAACTATCTTCAACTTTACAAGAATGAAAATCCTAATTTTTGTCTGTTAAACAAAAGGACATGGGTTGTTATGCTTCTGATTTTATTGTGAATGCACCATGTGTATTTAACTCACTTCAAATAAATTCCCTAGTAGATAAGATGAATTCTATATTTCCTTTCTTTTCAATCAGTTTGAAGTTGCAAATTCTGTTTCAGAGACTATATTATTAGGGAGCAAACAAGACAGTTGTCCAACCTGACTAAAAATAAATAAAGTAATTTGGGAATTATTATCTAAAATGTTACAACATTGTTCTGTAACTGGGAGTGTTTTATTTTTATGTCTTTGCATATACCTTAAAATGTAGCTATTAGTTACAAGTATTCAAACTTTTAGCAATTTACTATTGGTATTTTATTGCTTCACTATATTCTTGTTTCTTCCTATGGTAATTAAATCTTTTGATAGATTTCCATATGTACTCTGTAAATTCTACTGTATAACTATATAGTTTTCTAGTTAGTAGCCATAATGAAGACATTCTGTTCTGACATTATAAATTGAACACTATTTTTCTTTGATAGAAATTCAGATTATAAATCTAATATAAATCTAATTTCTTTAGTGTCCCTTTTCTCCTTTTATCCTCTTCCTAATATCTGGTAAATACTTACAGTTGTTCAGAACATTATATGAATAATTAGAAATTTATGACTCCTTGGATCATTGTTTTCAGAGATATTTCCTTACCAAATTCCTCAATCCTTTTAACAACAGCAGATATACTAATATAATTGAAAAGTTCTTAAAAAGGGAGGGAGATTAGAGAGGTATCTGCCTTGAAAATAGCCCATGTAGAATTGTACAGCACTGTCAAACATCATGAATTGATCACAGGAAATGTTTTATCCATTTTATATGATATCATAAAATGGTTTGATAAAATTTGCCAAATTTCAATTCTATGGGAATTATGGGTCCCAGATTTTGACCCATTTTGTAATTTAGCTCATCTGAGGTATCTTGGTTCAAAAATGTTTTGCTCTATGATGCACCATTTTTCCCTGTTTAAGGTTATTCTTTCAGCCCAAAATATTGCACAAGATGGTTATTGTGGGAATAAAACTGAAGGTTTTTTTTTTGCATAGGCTGCCTTTAATTCTTTGGGGAAAGAAGAATGATCTATCTAATAAATTAGTAAACAACTTTTCTTAGCACCAAATAATGCCAAATGGAAGATGTCCCTTTTATTGTGCCGAAAAATACTATAGTAGAACACAAATTGCCTATAGGAATATAAGGGCCTCTTCCTGCAGAAACTGATATATAGTTTCTGTAGGAAGGAGATTGTGTAGATTTTCTGTAAGGTCAAAATGTGCACAGTTCTGGAAAAAAAATGTAAGTGTAAAACTGTTATCAATATGTGGGCAGAGATCTTGTAAAGTTCATGCTGTTCAAATTGCACGGAATAATTCATTATTTATTTACATCCTCCATATGGTTTTCTCAAAAAGAAACCTAGAGTTACCCGGGGGGGGGGGGGAATCTGCCTTCAAGATGATTAAAATGTGATTAACTTGACATATTTTTTCCCCTTTCGTTGCAGGTACTTCTTGATCTTGCCAGTTTAATATTTGAGGAACAGCAATCATTAGAAGTCATTTTGAAGAAGATAGCAGCCACTATAATTTCCTTCATGCAAGTGCAAAAGTGCACCATTTTCATAGTGGATGAAGACTGTTCAGTAAGTATGGACCCTGACTGTATTCTCGACTGGCTAATTGTCAGTTGTGTTAATGGCAATGTGTGTATCTGCACAATTACAGATAGAGCCAAGGTGGCGCAGTGGTTAAATGCAGCACTGCAGGCTACTGCTAGATCAGCAGGTCAGCGGTTCAAATCTCACCGGCTCAGGGTTGACTCAGCCTTCCATCCTTCCGAGGTGGGTAAAATGAGGACCCAGATTGTTGGGGGCAATATGCTGACTCTCTGTAAACCGCTTAGAGAGGCCTGAAAGGCCTATGAAGCGGTATATAAGTCTACTGCTATTACCGGTAATATGCTTCAGTCAATTGGATTGGTCAACAGTTATTGATGCCTTGTTAAATCTTAAGATGACTACTACATGGCAACAAATACCCTTAGATAGTATTCAGAAACCTGGTATGAAATTAGGCTGCCATCCACAGTATAATATTAAAAACATATGATGCCTATGTTGAAAGGCCAGCACTAATTGTAAATTGGTTATGGGTACAGTTGAAAGTGTTGCATTGACCTTTCACATCCTAACAGACTTGGGCTTGGCTGTTAGAGACAGCTAATGTTAGCATGATCCTACTCAACCAAGGTCAACCAGAGAAGTCCTATTGAAGATGCTGTCATTTCCCAGGTTTGTGACTCTGATTCATTGGAAACAACTATTGTGTTGAAGTTACAGAAAGCACACTTTTGGAATTGCACAGTTTTTTTTCATTATTAGTGATGTGAAATAGCCTATTTAAAAAAAAGATATCATATGAATCATCATCATATTCAATATACAAGGTGAAGATCATTATGTAGTAAATTGCATTGAGCCTTATACTGTATAAGTTAGAAAAAATGGTTAGAAACATTGTAATATGTCAGTTTTGTTTATCCTGGGTCTTAAAATGCTTTATGAAATACAGTAAACCATTGATAGTTTTTTGAAATCATTTTTCACAAGGCAAGAAATAAATGAATTATGCTCTTTTACAATGCAAACAATTTTACTCTACATTTTAACAAAGCCCAAACTCTCTCATATTTAGGATTCATTTTCCAGTGTCTTTCACATGGAATATGAAGAAACAGAAGATTCCAGTGAAACCCACAAAAGGTAAAAGGATGAGATTCAAGATATTTTCATGGCTTTATGCAAATACTTAATAGTTCAAACCATCAGAGTTCAGCACTCAGAAACATGACCAACACGACCCCATTTAAAAGGATAGGCTAGCTCATACATTGCATTAGTTTCAATGAGATTAGCAAAAGGAGGCGATGTTCATTTTGATCAGCCTTAACAGATGGAACCGTTGGAGATGTGGCATATACATTTTTTTCTTCTTTTTTGGAACAATGTATCGCTTTACAGCAACAACTTGTGGGTGGCCCCAACCTATAACTACTTTTTATGTGTGCTGACTAACTCCTCCAGCATAAAATTCACACTTGGAAATGTGGAAAGGGAAGTAAGAGATACAGAAAAGCCTGCCATTAATTCTGCAGTGGGCATTCTTTTGCCAGTAAACCTTCTGTTATTGAAGTGCTCTGAAAGATCCTGAAGCTTAGCTTAGAAGACAACTTCTCTCCCCCCCCCTCTTCATGCTGGAGCTCAGTGGCTGCCATCTAGTGGCGTTATAGGTACCCTGGCATCTACTGTACGGGTCTTGTGTTGCTCACCCCCTTGCTAGCGCTTCTTGTATCTGATCTTCAGTTATTCATCAATTTATTAAATTCATTGATGTGAGTGTTTCTAAAACTATAATAAACAGATACAGATATATATAAGAAATGACTTGTTTTTTATCCAGGAATTCAAGGACATGTACGTGCTACTCCTTCCTCAAAACTACAGTCTGGGGAAGAGGATGAGTAGAGAAATAATGAGTGGCCCAAAGTCACCCAGGCAGCTTATACCCAGGTTTCTTCAGTCTTAGCCTACCATGCTAACCATCATGTGACATGGACTCATTCAAAGGGGCTTGTCCCTCTAATTCTTCTGTGGATTAGATCTGTTCATCCAAGAAATCAATTCAGCTTCTCCATTTTTATTACTTAACTCTTCAGCATTCTTAACCAATTTTTAAATAGGTTTAGTTCTAGTTTTGTTGGTTGAATAAGTTACTAAGTAATGTAATTTTATTTGTTGTGTTCAGAATGAAAGGAGGTATCAATTAGATGCATTTAATACTGAAATGCCAACCAGCCTTGTTGAGTTGCTTGCACATTTACAACCTGAGTAAACTATGAATTCTTATTTCAAGAAGGCCTGAAAATTAATTTTTCTAAAACACAGAACTACCCAGACCAATATTTTGTCTAATATAAAATCTCATATGCTGTATAAAAAGTCCTTTTTGTAACAAACAAATGAAAGGATAGAATGATTCAAACAGAAAACAGTCAGTAATAGCAGATTTATGAAACATTAGTCATAGCAGAGAGATGCTTTGAAACTGTTTATTTTTATTTTCCATAACAGTCAAAAGAGCCTTAGAATCTTGAGTCTTCAAAACGCTCTTGTGAACTGCCCAGTGAATAGTGATATAGATGCATTAAATTTAAATGGAAAATTATCAGGCCAGTGCAAAAGTATAGGTAACAGTATAGAGAGTACAGATAGACTTTGACTTGTAGCTATTTGTTTAGTGACCATTCAATGTTACAATGGCACTGAGAAAAGTGACTTGTGACCAGTTTTCACACTTATAAACTTTGCAGAACTCCTCATGGGTCACATAATCAAAATCAGGCACTTGTAAACTGGCATGTATTCATGACCTTTGCACTGTCTCAGGATCATGTGATCACCATTTGTAACCTTCCCAACTGACTTCCAACAAGCAGTGATCAACTGACTTAACAACTGTCTTGCTTAGCTATAGAAATTTTTTAGTTCAATTGTGGTTGTAAGTAGTACAATGTAAGTAGTACAAACAACAATGAAACTGCTAAAATATGGAGTTAAATGAATTTGGTATTTTCTTTAGAGCAAATGTCTGTTTTGAAGAAAATATTTGTACCAATCAATAAGGCAATTAAGAAGAATACCAAGTTAGTTATTCAGAAATCATGTTTAGGATTTTGATGAGGGCATTGCAAAAACTATTTTGTTCTTAAAATCTTGGAGAAGACATAGTTAAGGAATTAGATATCCAAGCTCTGCACTTGCTTTCAGCTATTCCAATAATGCTTCTAAACACTGATTCAGTCTATTAATAATCCTGACTCTGGGATGACTTTTTTAAATTGTAAAGTGTTGTTTAAAACATATTTAGGGTTAGGGACTTCAAAAGATGGATGTAGCATAAATCTTCCTTATCTCAGGATCAGGCTAAAGACAGATTAGAGAGGCAGGTGTACATAGTACATCTTCCCACAGGATTCAGAGGAATTCTTGAAAATAAAGATTGTGTTGAAGGTCATGTCTACTTCCCAAAGACATATTACAGATAATCCTTGATTTATAACAGTTCATTTAATGACTCTTCAAAATTACATTATCACTGAAAAAAGTGACTTATGAACGTGTTTCACACTTATGATCACATGTTTTAAATTTGGATGCTTGACAACTGACTCACATTTATGACGGTTGCAGTGTCCCAGAGTCATGTGATTGTCTTTTGTGACCTTCTAACAAGCAAAGTCAATGAGGAAACCAGATTCACTGAACAATTCTGTTACTAATTTAACCCCCTCTCTGATTCACTTAACAAATGTGGCAACGAAAGTGGTAAAATGGGGCAAAACTCACCTAACAAATTTCTCACAACGTAAATTTTGGGCTCAATTGTGGTCATAAATTGAGGACAACTGTACTTAGGCTACTGAATGGAAAATTACTGGATTGAGAATCCTAGCCACTAGAATACCAAACTTCAAGCATGATAGCTGTATCCAAAACTTTCATAAGAAATCTAGCACTGTTCAGAACATTGGCAATGGATACAACTAGCTTTTCATATGCTTAGTTGACCATTAAAATTTGCTTCTAAACATAGGTAATTAATGTAATGAACTGAGTCCATTTCTTTTTGTATCTTGACAGACACAATGATACAAATCAAATTAATTATATGTATGCCCAGTATGTCAAGAATACTATGGAGCCTCTGAATATTCCACATGTGCGCCAAGACAAAAGATTTCCTTGGACAGTAAGTAAGCCAACATACAAAAATTCAATGGGCAAATGGTTTTTACTACTTTGTCATACCATTGTTTGTAGTCACTCTACACAATCTTATTGCTGCAACTAACTAGAGGTTCCACTGTTTCTTTAGCTTTACAGAAGTGGCATTTGCGCCTGTTGTTATCTTCTCAATTCTGATTTTGTATACATTTGTTCTTAAGGATTGATTTTTTGCCACCAGAATTAGCTCTCCTGTCTCCTTTTCTGATCTTAGTCAGGCCTTGGTGCTATCAACTTTGCTGGCTAAATTTGGTTTTGTTTTTTTGTGTACTGGCCAAGTAATACTTTGCCTTACCATCTTGATAGGCTTAAGTCTACTACTTAAGCTGTGTATCTAATTACTGGAATTGCCTAAGTATTAATTGCCTTGATGGTATTTCCTCCACTAAGTTTGGACTTTATGATCTTCTTCACTGTCATGATATATTCACTTCTAATCTTCTTGACGTCAGTGTGCTTGATGTTGTTTGAAGGATGTCCATGCATTTGTAGTGAACTTCTTAATACAGACCCTTATGTTTTTTTCATAGAACATTTTGATTCTTTTATTATTCCTTATTTTCTCCTATTAACGGTAAGGGTGGCACATTTTTCCTGTCCCAACTCCATTGTAATATCTTGGCTAAATTGTATATATGAACAGTATTGAGCAACAATTTTACTTCAGATTATCTTTTTCCATCTATGGATATTCCCAGTCATCCTTTTTCCATATAGCTTCAGATCATGTAAAGGAGATAGGATAACTTAACAGCTGTTTTTGATGTTTGATAGCCATGGTCTAACTCAGAGATGGCGAACCTTTTTTGGCTTGCATGCCAAAAGCGGGGAGAGCGTAGGGTGATCATGCGCGTGCCACATCCATAATGCTTTGGCACGACCCAGTGCAATGCACGCACAACCAACGCCCCCCCCCCATTTTTGGCGTGCTTTTTTCGCCCTCCCCATGCTCCAGAGACTTTATAGGAGTATGGGGTGGGCAAAAACAGCCCCCCCGCCCTCCCCCCCCTGGAGGCCATCCGGAGGCTTCAGGAGCTTCCCTGAAGCCTCCAGAGCGCGAAAAACCGGCCCTATGGGCAAACCGGAAGTTTGGGGAGGAACTTCCAGTTTGCTCGTAGGGCCCATTTTAGCCCTCCAGAGCCTTCAGGAGGCTTCCCTGAAGGCTCCAGAGGGCAAAAAACAACTGTACAAGCAAACTGGAAATGACTTCCGGTTTATCCGTAGA